TCTCATACGATCGTCGATGTCGATGTGGGCATATCGACTGCCGCATTCCGTTTCGTACACTCGCAAACTGAAGCGAATCACGCGCCGCAATGACCGAGGAAGATATCGTTTTCCGAAGAGAGCGCGTCGACAGTGCTATCCCGTTTGCGGGGCACCGGAAAGCGCAACGCGCGCGTAATTAAAAAACGGAGGGGTCAAGCGCCGCGCCGCGCCGCGCCGCGAACGCGCGAGATCTACGACGGGGGCGACCTGTCGTCGTTCTGAAAAATTGCAGGCGAAAGAATTGTCCTTTTCGCCCCTTGCCGTTTATCTCGCCGTCGATTCGAAGAGTTGCACGCGATACTTGGCCGCGCCGACAACGCGAAAGAAAGTCCCTCTATTATGAGGCAGCGAAGTTTCTGCTAAATTAATAGGCGTCATCTGATGGTTTCACCCATAGACATAATATACCTAGACCGAGCATTGAGCAGTGTGGGGGTAAAGGTTCACGTAGAAAAGGACAAACTATGTTTTGTGCTATTTCGTTCTCTGTCGTTCGCATGCGAAGGGTGAACTGTACGGAAACAAAGTAAATACCCGAGACCGATTCAAGTAGCTCTATCTCGGAAACAGTGGGGAATGGAACATATATTCATATGAACAATTTCGCTCAAAATGACCGATACCATCACCTCCCAGAATATTGACCTTTCTTCCAGGGACACCCTGTATAGAAGCAATAGCTCTATCTCGGAAACAGTGGGGAATGGGACATATATTCATATGAACATTTTTGCTTAAAATGACCGATACTATCACCTCCCAGAATATTGACCTTTCCTCCTGGAACACCCAGTATATTGTACGTCTATGGTTTTTTTCATTCACCATGAATTTATTGCTCTTGGGGGTGAAATCTGTTTGATGGAGAATTGTTAGATCGCGTAATAGTCGCGAGAAAAGATTTACGATTGAATTTTGGATGTTTGAGAACTATCTCACATTAGAATCCTGTCTCGTAATAAAGGATTCTCTATCGCGGCCGCGTTTCATCCTCGCCGCCGCGACGAACGTATCGTTTTTCGATCGCGCGCGCGCCGCCTTCTTTCTCCCCCTCGCTTCTCCCTCCGCCCTTTTTTCCATTTTAATACATAAAAATTCCCGCGCTCTGTATATCGCGTTACTTAATATCGAGCGGAAACAAACTGCCGCGCGCCGTCTCAAGTTCAACAATATTATATTTCCCCGATATGATATTCGTCAACCGGCGACACCGGGCGGACGACCGACTCGATGGCGCGATCGAGTCTAAACCGCCGTGGGAAAACGGCCGTATGTCGCAGTCACGTAACAAAGCGAAAAGGAAAAAAAAAGGATAGAGAGAATTACCTCGATTTTATCGCGAGTGTTGTCGCGAAACGTTAATTCGGTCGCACAGCTGATCGGGTATCAGCGTCGCGATATTGCGACGGGGAAATTACAAAAATACCGACGTCGATGATGCGCGGATGTAATCGCGCGTAGGATCCGCGCGATTCGCCGACAGGCCCGGGGATAATGCCGCCGTTGAGTTTTACCCTCTGGTCGACGCGTCGATGTCTCCGGCGGTATTTAAATTAATTATTGGCACGGATGTGCGGCGTATTTCGCGCGCATTTCCGCATGGCGATACGCGAAATCCGGCCCGGCAATGCGGATGCGTCTCTCGATAGCCGTATGATTATTCCTATCTCGCACGACGGGACGATGAACCGTCGTCGATGAGCTGCCACCGGTCGCGTGGGCTACGTGCGTATCCTGTAATAAGCGTCGGTTTTACGCGCGCCGTTCGCTCGCGAAATAAACCTGGCGGAACAGACACCGCTCGTTTTCCAATGTTTCATGCGCGAAACCGTCTCGGAGAACCGGAGCTCGGTACACGCGAGGATATAAAATAAACCTCGTCGATCTACAATACAAAGAAAAAATCGCGCAGCGGAAGCAATATGTTTTTCACGGGCGGAAATATCCTCGGTCCGGTATGTTTAACAATGGCGAATGTTAATTTAGATAGTCGCGACACGGGGAGAAACGTGACACTGAAACTTGTTGAAATAGCAAAGCCAGGGGACGATATCCAAAATATTCGGCAATCGATACGTTCAATTTAAAACTTAATTAGTATGTTATTAATGTTACATTGCGTGGTTAATAATGTAACGTAATATACTACCGCCCTCTATGCGATAACATACAATAAATTAACGTGTAAATAATTAAGAAAGGTATGCAGGCATGAGTGAGCGCACGAAGAAATTTCCTCTTTCCCGTCTCTAAATAAACTATTAATTACATAATTAAACATGGCTAATTAGGATACTTGGTAAATTATGATGCAAATGTAAATTGAACAAATATTTTGGAGTATGCGGCGCGACACCGCCAGTATACTAGAGGAAAGTCCCCTATTACGAGATACGTTTCTAATGTGAGATAGCAGGCTTTCAACACCCAAATTCAATCACAAACCTGTTTTCGCAACAACTACGCGATCTAACGATGAATTTTCCACTAAACAGATTTCGCTCCAAGGGCAATAAATTATTCATGGTGGAACCATAGCCGTGTAATGTATAGACCGCGCGTTTGGCTGAAGCAGTGTACAGACCTAAGTCAACGGCACACGATATTATTTTGCCTACTGGATTACTTACGAGAGCCAATCAGAATTCAGGATTCATCATTCACCTTACTAATCACATAATAAACAAAAGCGAAGTGGTTCGGAATGTTCTCACTAGAGGGACGCGCGGTATAAGATTTTCTCGTAAGAAGAAAACCGCATAGGGTGTTGCATGGACCAATATTGTGTCTATGAGAACTGTAACACATTGTTAGGTCAATCATAACTTACGTAGTTGGAAGAATGATAAAAATGTGGTTGGCTCCTAAAATGACTATAAATTATAGTGAGATTGTGGTAACTGCAGCCATTTCTTTCTATTAATTTAGCGGAAACCCCGCTATCCCATATTAGGATCCTATCGCATTGCTAGCTAATATCAACGTCGCTAGCTAATATCACTATAATATTATGCAGTATTAATAGTATAGTAAACGTCGTGTAACGTGACCGGTACGGAGGTGTATCAACATTTTAACAAGCAACGCGATATCAGCTAAATATGAACAAAAATCTGACGTGATAAATATTAAAAGTTACACGATCCCCTACGTAACGCGTGTAATTACTATATTTTATTTTCGAGCGAAAATTATTCCGATCCCGATAACATTTCGCGGGTACTTTACGAACGATCAGCGCGGGAAACTGGAGTACTGCAAAACGTCGAGGGGAGAAGAAAAAAAGCCCCCCCAGCGGCGCTGTAGCAGACGCGAATTCAGTGCTCACGCATTTACTCGTTCATCCGTTAAAAATGAACCGGGATTCCATCTACGATGGTTACATTCCACGAGCCACCTAATTCCCGTTGGACCGCGAGTTGGCCCTTGCCGTGTACGCGCGCGCGAGAGTAACCCGATAATTGGGGCCTGCGATCAGCGACGCGCGGGAATCCAGGTCGAAAAGGGTTGAGAGCGTGGAACGGAGAGATGGTCCTCGCACTCGCAAACTTTGTCGTCCGTGGCGCGTATATACAGGCAGCACGTTGCTGGCCATCTTCCTGCGCGGTCGCGCTCGACGGAATTTATAGGGTTGGCTTGGCCTTGCGCAAGACTCGACCCGCTCAACCTATTTCATAACATGCGGAAGAATGACGTCGAGAACGGCGACGTCGGCGAAAGAAAGGCTCAGGGAAATGCAGAAAGGGGGGGGGGGAAGAGGGTAGAGCGAATTAGGAAACAAAAGAAAAAGAATAGGCTCAACTGGAGCCTGCTTGCACGCTCCCGGCTGCTGGCTGCAATTAGCGCCTCTTTAGTTAGCCGTCCTGGACGGCCCTTCTCGCCTCTCCGGATGCCAAGAACTGGTCGTGCCACGCTCTCAGTCCCCTGCCGTCCCTGCAGCCGTTTTCTTTCTCGTGGACTTTTCTCTTTTCGCGACTGGAGTCTCGTCACCTTCTCCCGCGCGTCACCGTGAAACGCCTCGCGCCCACCCCCGGGCGCACTAACGACCGGGGGGGTGTCAACCATTTAATTTAGCATGACGCCACTCAGCGTCATCGCGGTCGACAAACTTCGTTTTGATAGCCTGCGGGAGATGTAATTTGGACAATTGAATCGGTTTGAAGCGCAGATGTACGCGACGAGAGGATATCCTAAAGCCGATATTGGTCCTCGCCGGAAAACTTGACAGTTACGACGCTGCGGAGAGAAGGAGAGAGACCGATAGATAGAGAGATAGAGAGGGCGAAGGGCAAAAAAAGGAGAACGCTTTGCGTGGGTTCCGTTTAGAAGTGAGTTCTAAGCGCCAGTAAATCTTGATAGTCTTTTATAAATTTGTCCAATGGTTTGATGACACGAAACTCTAAAACTTAATCCGGCCTGTTTTCGATTTACCGAGAAATCAGTGTCATCACCACAGCGATTCCCACAGGCATACATTATTTGTAACATAGAGTAATAGTGATACATCATTAATCTGTCGACTAATGAATATTTTTATAATATACACGCGCGTATGTTGCAAATGCTGTGTAGGTGTACTATTACGTGAATATTTGTATAATATACGGCCAATTAAATTGTACAAGTATTTATAATTATTATTTATGATTATTATTTATAATTATTAATTATGTATATAGATATACATGCACGTTACCGTTTTATCGAAATGGTAGATATGCAAATATGTTCTATCAAATTTTCATAAATTCTGTATAACGATTATTTGTATTAAATTTTACACAGTGCGTTGTATTTATGACGCGGGCACAATCCTCCCCGCGATTTTACATCCTTTATTCCCGTTTGTGGAACAACGACGATTCACCGAGTGCATATCCGCCGATAAAAGCGCCGTTCGATTGTTCGACGGGAAACGAGAAAGGGGAACCGGTGAGAATCGAAATCGCAAAACTTACTTTCACGGAGGGTCACCATGTAGTACGACGCCTGGCTGGGCTTGCTGCGCCCTAAAGCATTTATCGCCGCCACCCGGAAGCTGTACACCGTGAACGGCCTTAGATTCTCGACGGTGTAGAACGTGTCGTTGTGTGGCGTTATGATCTCCTTCGTCGCGTTCCACGGGCCGTCCTCGTCGATGCTGCAAATAACAAATGCGTCGCGTTATGACATTTGCGATTCAGCCGTTTGCCCATGTGACTGCTGGAAGTCACGTGCGACGCTATCGTTGCACGGGCGCTTACAATGCGGGCAACTTCAAAAATCGCTGCGAAAAATCCCGTACAAGTCGACCTAATATTTTCCTCGATATTCACCATTTCGTTCGTCGCTCTTTTTTTTTCCTCGCGCGATTTTGTAAGGAAATGTCTTGCGGGGCCGCGCGAATTTGAAAGGCTCAATATGATAATATACATCTATAACCTGCGTTACCTCATAAAGTTATACGGAACTCCACTATAAACTGCATTAAGAAAATGTTTCGGGAGATGATGTTGGTTAGGGAATTCTACGATGTGAAGAAGAGCGAACTTCTGTGAAAGGTATTCAAATTGCAAATGCGCAATTCTTGAGATAACGCCGCGTACGCTTTTAACACGCAATCTTGTAACGTTACATCGCAAAGGGCGTAGGGAGAAAATAATCCTAAAATTGACGGATAAAGGACATTAACTGCCGCGAAGTTTTTTTCACGCGTCGACTGTGTTTTGTAATTTATAGCGAAACGCTACATGTATTTTACAATTGTCTGAAAGCGTCAAGAAGGGAGACAATCTAGATACGATAAAGAATAATCAGCAAATTTAACCGTTTATGTAAGCACGAGTTATAATAATGTCTTGTACGGGCTGAATTTTAGGGTCCAATATTCTTTCGTATATATTGTACGTTTTACGGCTCAGCAAAACGCGATTAGGTAACAAATTTCATATCGCAGCTTTGACATTTCTCGTATGTGGCGAATACGGTAACTACAACATTAATATGATGCAATCTTTCCCTGCAATTTAATTACGATGACATTAATTTAGAATAAAATTTTGATGTCGACGACTGGTTGTCGGAATTTTTGAAGATGCGCGTGTGCATCGTAAGACCATAGGCATGTTGTAAAAAAAAACTGCACAATAATTTGTCTCCATCATCTTATATAAAATAACGTTCTATGTCATGAGAATATGATATATTATTATAAAAGTGACAGTTAAAAGAGCATATCTGAGAAATATTATCTTAAAATAGGCTAAGAGACGTTTTAAAACGTAAGAAATAGAACTATTAGGAAAAGACATCTGTCTAACGTCTTTAAAATGTCTTACGTTCCATTTACGACATCGTCGGGATGTCATTCCTTTAAGATTTCTCGAGATCGATTTTAGACAGGCGCGGCCTCGGCAATATATACAGAAAAGGGGACTGCAAACTGTATGATAAATCGATATGTCAATAATTTAATATACACATAATTTTAATAACGAAAATTTAATATCTATTTCGATACTTATTCGTTGAAAATTTTATCTGTTGTAAATTTTGTACAATTAATTTATAATATAATATTCATTTCATGATTTATCATAATTAGTTCATAATGTAATATTCATTTTATGATTTATTATTATCGAATATTAATAGTTTCAAAGATGTGTGCGTAGATCCACATACATTTTACGACCTAATGTAATATCAGTTTTATTTGTTTATTTATTTAGAGAAAGAGAGAGAGACAGCTATATGAAAACATAATATTTTAAAGACTTTTGTGGAAAATACATCTTGTCGATCCCACGGGCGATTGTTCTTATCTCAAAGAGACAAGGCGTTTCAAGTTTCAATCTAGCACACGCAAAGAGATCAGAGTTTACAAGATACAACATTCGTATCGTGGTTTATTATTATTGTATGCATATTAACAGTTTTAAAGATACGCGAAACAAAGGTCTTTCAATCCTTAAAGATCGCTCGTTGGACGTTTCGATTGGATACTTCGATCCCATAGTCCGCTTCGTCCCCGATTCAGCTCGTACTTTCAGCTCGCAATCCCCGAGCCTCGGGGAAAAGGGAATGGCCGCGATTTTTCGAAGCCGCTCGCGGAAATTATTATCCCCCTGCGGAACGCGCGCGCGGAGCGGCTTTGTAATTCCCGTAGACTAATTAGCGGTCGAAGACGCGGCGCGCGACAGGGAGGGGAGATTTTATCGTCTTCGAATTGCATATCTGCATTTTGCAGTAATTAATATAGATTATTAATCGTTGCGCGATCTGTTACGGGAAAGTTTCCGCGCAGCTGCGGTTCGAATAATTGCCACAGTTTGCATTCGCCCGGGTCGACTCGTTCCACCGGCATTGTGCGTGTAACGCGCGCACGTACACGCGCGCGTATACACGCACACGCCCGCGAACGTAATGTATTTGTCACGTTGTAGCGAGTCTGCGGTTATCTTTCGGTGCGCTACGATGTTAATTTTCGAAGTAGTTTACCAGCCCCTTATTTTTCATTCGGCATTACAATCCAGCGGCGATGAGGCGCCATTTATTCGCGGTTTAGCCGCGAGATACGTCTACCCCTCGTATAAAAGTGACGCACCCCTCGGTTTCACAGCCACGGGTTAGAGAGAGAGGGGGGGGGGGGGAGAGAAAGAGATTCGGTATGGTTTTCTTTCGGCCACGAAGCCCAGAAACGCCGGGTGTCGTATCCTCTCCCCGCGCGCGCGCGGCTTCGGGGGCGGACTTCATCGGTCCATCCCTGGGAACGCGCTCGATAACGACGAGAGTCCCGGGTTTAACGTTAAACACACGGCGAGGGAGACGCGGTAACGCGAGCAAACGCGCCGCGAGTTACAACGGGGAAATGAAGGATGAGGAATAACGTCATGCACTCGCGCACTCCCCCGCATTCTTGTGCAGGGCAGATACGCAACGTTCGCGTGCGCCATATATGTTCAGCATCATCCCGCCCATAGGACAAAATCAATTTACCGCCGGCAAACCCCTATCGCCAATTTGCCACTGTGAGATAAGGGAATGATCCAGCAATTAAATGCAAAAATGACCTGTCGCCCCGTGGTTTTTATTTGCGCCATTTTTGCGCCCAAAAACACGAAGCGGAAAAAAAGCAATCGACGACTTGTATCCAATTAGCGCAATTCGCGTCATTGCGTTCTGCGGCAAATTCGTTTGAAATTTTCGATACGCGAGATACGCATTTTACAGGAAAATTTACGGCCTAGAGGAGCGCAATGTGTGGCGCGGCGCGGCAGAGACGGACCGGAGGATATCGACCTGGACGACGAAAGGAACGACATTCGCATCCGTGCGTTTTTTCGCCCTTGCCCGGGAATTAGATTAAAAGCTACGAAAAAAGGTCTCGCGCGCAAGCGGCGCTTTATTCACTTTCAGGAGGTGCCGCACTTAAGCAAACGTCGCCGCGGACTTAATTCGGCCGCGCGGACGAATGCACGCGGCATATTAAGTTTCTCTATTGCGAAGAGAGAAACAACTTTCTTATTGGGGCTCGTCTCGGCGGTAATTGATTGTTTCTGTTCTTCCGCCTTGATTTTTCTCCGTCGCTGCCGCGCGGTGGAAAGAAACCCGGCGCGAGCTACTTCCCCCCCGTGGGAGAAGCGTATTTCAAGAAACTCGGGACAATTAATTATTCGCTCGTTCGCGAATGAAAAACAATTCCGCGATTTCTTTTGACTCCCCCGCGATCGTACTTCCGATACGCAAATGAGGATGCACTCGGCGAGGCGGCGGTCCCCAACTTTTCAATTCCGTAACTTGCGCGCCGCGCGGAAGACAACGCATAAATTATTGACGGATAAATATGTGCGGGCCCGCGGAACGTAATTCGTATGAATTATCGAAAATTCCTGTCCTTTGAACCCGCGTTAAAACCTCTCTTGCGAATCGATTTTCCCTCGGCCGAAGACGCCGAGGAGGGCCATCCTCCTCGCTGTTTTGCAATTTTATTAATATACATAAACACACGAGTCATATTTTGAGAGTCAGATTAGCTCCCGTAAAGCGTCTTACTTGCGGGAATTATTCAAATGATCGGCTGTACACGAGAATTTTTAATATTTAACCCGCGCCGGGCTTGTGTCCGCGAGAGAAAATCTGCAAATGTGTCTAGTTAAAAAAATAATGCGCGTTAGAAGGAGGGCATGTTCTGCGCGGATAACTTTCGCGATTGTTAGTTTTTTTTTCCGCGTCAACTCCGCCGCTTTGACCGGCATATTAATGCGAAAAAGGATGCGTACAATAACACAGGACAGGATAGAGTCCATTGTCGGGCGGGTATAAAAGGGGGCTCGCGAGGATTGCGATGGAACAATGAAAAACTTTAGTTTTGGAAACCTAAATCCATCTCCGACACGGGAAGAAAGAGCCTATCAAAACTTTCGGACCGGGTCTTTCATAATTCCGGTCTATTGTGCGTGCGCCAGTACGATCCCGATAAATCCCCAATGTTCGCGGATTCTGGGCCGAACGGCCGCCGCGCATTTCCAGATACGTGTTGATATGCGTTTCGCGCATAATATCCAACCGTCGAACGAACCGAATCCCGCTTGCATCCAGCGAGCGACGGCGGCGACGGCGGCCGGTGGCGAATATCAAATTTTTGGCAATTCTTCCGTGCGGATTCGCCGGAATTCGGCTCACGCTCCGCAAATATTTAAGTCCCGCTACAAAAAAATACGCTCGAGAGACTTTTCTCTCCCCCCCCCCCCGGCCCGCATGGGAATTTTCCGATGAGCGAGACAGTCGAGAGAGAAGCCACTACTCGTTTTCGAGAAATTACTGTTTTATTATCTTTTTAAGATTTATCGCATCGCCAGTCGCAAGATGAGTTGGGAACTTTGATAAC